CCCCCCCCCCCCCACCCCCCTCACAAACACGGGAGAAAGCTGCACATTGACATGCTCGTGAAGAGATGCTGAAAAGCACAAAACGTGGGAACAGCAAGTGTTTTGGTCATGCTCTGCGCACGCAATTCCGGAGCTTCAGCAGCATGAGGCGCTTGTCCGCGGCTTCCGGGAAGCGACTGCCGAGTGAGCCTTGAACCCTATGGCAATGATTAGACAGGATCTTGCGAAGATTGCGCCATGATCGCCCCACGTTGGGCTATTTCCTGAAGACTCGCTTCTATTCGCACTCTCCACATACAAAGTCGAACCTCTCAGGAAACCGCTGAAATGCGATTTTGTACAGCATCGTCTTCGTGAACCCCACCAGTAGCAGTCACTGTTGAAACGTTGATACCGATGATCAGTTCGATTCGATTGATTCCTAGCAAGCGACAACTTATGTTAGAGATGACTGAGCCCTTCGAAGCGCACAGCACAAGTGATACGGCATCAAACTCCAAGTGCGATGGTGCGAGTATACAAGAACCACAATCGCAATATCGTCATGGCAACAATCCCCACGCACACGCCTTCAGGTTGCAGCCAAACTAGAACTAACACTTGGAAGCTTCCGAAGATTCCACATCGTTATGATTTTCGCTGGGTTTCACATCAGCTCTAAGACGGCTGGGATCCAGTCTCTATCACGGTGTGCAGTCGGCAAATCGCTCGCGGATGGTGCTGGTTTCAATCGCCCGAGTCGACCACAGTTTGTGAATTACTCTGACGGGAAGCGCCATTGCGCAAATAAATGGGGTTAATTAAGGGCTTAGCTTAGGGCATTCCGTTGCGTACCGGTGCTAACTTGACCATGCATTGCCAGTTGAAGACCCGTTTATGAAGTTCGAAGTCTGCTGGGTTTGGGGGGTTCCGGCCCCTTCACGTCAAAGTCTGCAAGGCACCGTCGTCGTGCTCGGATAAGTCAGTGGCAAAGGGCGCATAGGACATGTACTGTAAGTTAAGTATTGTTTGAACTGTACTTGCAGGAAAATCGATGGAACCCTGAACCCCAAACCTGGTAACCCGGTACCTTGCTTGAGGCGCAGACTTGAATGGCTGCGGCACTGAAACCTAAACCTTCACATCCCTAACTCGCAAGGAAAACGGGTGCAGAGCCGCGGTGCAAACAACGGCTTTAAGTCTCCTTCGATAACTGATTCGATCAGTTATCAATAGTTCTTAATACTTTTGTATTCTTGAGAACGGCATTACTATGATGATGTTTTTATTATTCTTAGTCTTATTATTATTATTATAGTTATAATTATAATAATTATTATGACATCTACTGACGATGATTGCTTCACTAGGTCTGACACATCACTGCAGCATGTCTTCTACTCGGCAGTCCAGCTCAGGGGGCTCGCGCACGACAGACAGAACCTGCCCTGTGGTAATGTAGGAACCTGATTAAGAAACCCAGGGCCTTTATTAGGGTTCGTAATATGAGCCCCAATATACTGGGGTTTTAGGGCCAGGGTTTCTTAATCAGGTTCCTACATGTAGGAACCTGATTAAGAAATCCTGGCAGTATAACCCCAATACATGAGGGCTCATATTTAGGACCCTAATAAAAAGCCAGGGCTTCTTCATCAGGTTCCTACATTAGGGCTTGAGGTTGCATTGGGGTTCATAGGGGTTTAGGGTTCGGGGGTGTAAGGTTTAGCGGGGAATTCGGGTTCAACTAGGGTTTATAGAGGTTCAGGGTTTAGGGGTATAGGTCTTGCAACTCTAAACCCCAAACCCTCGTGTTGAATGTGCCACGAAGATCTTTCCGAAAGCATGACGGCGCGCGAATTCGGCAATCATGAAGACTTCTGGCTCAATGGATAAGATTGCATGCTTAAGGACTGACTGAAGTGTTCTGTCGAAAGACTCTTGAAACTTCGGGCCTTTGCGGTGATCCGCTAACTCTTGTCGCCAGATCTGTGGAAGCGACATCACAAACCATCAGGGGAGGCGCAAGAAAGGGCGCTGCTCCTTGGTCGAGTTCGCAGCATGTGCGTACCGAAACGGCCTAAGCTGATAATCGTCTCAACTACGAATCTCGGCAGTGGATCATCGGGTTCTCCCGGGCCCTAGATGCCGCTTGGACCACTCTTTCAACATTGGTATTGCACAGTAGTCAATCTTGAAACAATACACTGGCTAACGATCCAGCTCGTGCAAACACCAGGGAGGCCAAGAAGACTCTACAATGCAAACCCACACTCTGAAAGACGACCCTGCAACTCATGGTGTTCCAAATTCCAAACACCACGCCCTGAAGCCCAAGCGTCTTTTTTCTCCGATGTCGCCCTAAACCCTGAGCCCGATATACCCCCCTAGTCCCCCTTATGAACTCCTGGGTTTGGGGTTTATAGGGTTTGGGGACGCACTCCGAGATCCCTAAGTCGACCTTAATCCCCAATCCGATGTCCCCGCAATCCTCCGCACACTCTTGCACACTAAAACTTGCCTACGACAAAATCCCTAAGCCGAACCCAAAACCCCACACCCTGAACGGTTAAAACTCTAAATCCGAACCCACAACCCTCTAGCCTACACCCTAAACGGTTAAAACCCCTAAACCCGACGGAATGATCAGTTCTAAAGCCACAGCTGAGGCCCAGGCTGTGCAAGCACGGCAAAGATGAAGCTGAAAGTCTTGGTGCAACCGCCACCTTTCAAGGTATGGGGTTGAGGTGCTTTATTAGGGGTCATAAGGTCATATGGGATTGTTACTATGGGGTTATGGAAGTATAAGGTTTTTGCAAGTTATAGGGCTACAGGGTTATAGGGTCACAGAGTCTAAAGACCATTGGTTCTAGATTCTAGAGCTCTTCATCTACTACTCGTCTACAGAGCTGACTCTGGGCTTTGCTTCCTTATGGAGCCTATGCTAGAATAGTTACCTACATAGCGCGCGACTGTCCCTGCATGCTGACATCGAAATTTATAAACTCTTCGGGTAACTTCGAGGCTTCATGATTGCTGGTCTAACTGGGAGTCCACAGATCGCACAAAGTCTCCGGTCAAGGAATGATCTTGGTAATTCTTTACGCTTCTATAGTAATCGCATCTTGACTATAATACTGTCTCAGGGTTTCAACCTCGCGCGCTCGCACACGGCAGGCACGGCTCCAGTCCACTTCACTGATCTCCGGGCTTTTAGGGCTTAAGCCGTGGCATTCTGCTTGTGCTTCTAAAGGCGGCCTTTCGAGCCTCTGGGGAGGGGACAGGCAAGCATCACATCTGTGATGGACCGAACAAAGTTTGTCACAAATGATGCATGAAGTAACCCTAACCCCCCAGGTACCTACTATATAGGGTACTAGAGCCCCTATCTAGGGCCCTATATAGTAGGTACCTGGAGGGTTAGGTAAACTGAGTGAAGCGAACATCGGCCACAACAAAAATCCAGCATGCTGCAACCTTGTCCAACCTGTGCTGCACTGTAGGACCAGAGTTTCATAGTCGGCCCGCGAAACTTCGTAATTATTCTGCCTTAGCCTTGATGTTTGTCACTTCGCAGTCCAAGCCAAACCCTGACCCAAACGACTACCATCGACTCCATGACAACCGGAAACGAAGTGATTGGGAAACGCTTTTCACCTTCACGCTGCGTCAAGCTCGACATCGGGGACTGGTTCGACAAGGAGTGTCCGAAACTACAACTTCTTGAGGGAATACAACAACACTCCTCCAGGGAGGCTCCCAAGAAACTTGGAACCTGAAACATCGCAATGCCCTAAACCCGAATCCAACCCTGAATGGATGAGAATCCACCCCATGTATCTCTCACCTGGAGCGGAGGTCTGCTTGTGTTTCCGTGACCTGGTCATCCAGAGCTCGATGAGTCTGTGGCTATTAAACCGCGAGGAAGCTACCTATCCATGCATCCAGCCGTCCATCCATCCATCATGCAATGATGGTAGTAACTAAACAAAAAGTATTCGAATAAATATGATGCCTTAAGGTTCAGGGTTTCGTTTGGGGTTTTGCATAGCTTGGCCGTGAAGCTCTGCGCACCTCCTCGAACAGCTTCCCGAGGGATGCATGGAGACCCGCCTGGCAGCTGTCCCCGCTCAAGGCTGATATTTTGCACAGCAATGAGCAGCCACGCTCACACAAACTTGGCAAATGCCACTCTACCACGTGGACAAGGTTTCGCTCAGCTGTCAGTACGACCCCCATGTGCTAGTTGCCCAGCCTTGGTGAGGGATCGGAGCATGATATACGTGAAAACCTGGATTTCAGCATGCTGCACGCAAGGTGCAATTGAAACACGATAACAAACATCGACGGAGACATGTTTGAAGCCTGTCAATAGCACGACATGCGATGAACCAATGGTCAGACTAGTGGCATCTTGCTTTCCTCTTGACTACACTACAGGGCAAAAAGGATTTTCAGTCCGCCCTGCCCNNCCCCCCCCCCCCCCCCCCCGGAAAAACACAAGACGCAACTGGTACTTCCGAAGCGAAATGCCGATGCAGGTCGCCGGCTTGGTCCAAGCTGCACTACGACGACAGCATTGTGCACAAAAGAATGCTCAGCGAGGGCCCGGACGCCGCGCGACCGCTCATCAATGGGAAGCTCCACACAAAACCTTAATGCGAGAGCTGCTTTGCCAAAGGAAGGTTGCTGCCATGCTGGTCGAGGAGAAGCTGTCTTAAGCATCCAGACATGCTTCGATTCCGGCTATTCACTACCACCCTCAAGCTCGCCCATCGGACGAGATTGCGGCACCCCGACATCCTCTGCTGCGTTCACAAAACGCAAGGGCATTGCAACTCTATGTGAACGAACAAATGCCTCCGTGCCAGGCCTTCTGAGTGCCCCAAGACATGCCATGACATCGCGCAAAACGGAAATACAAAGCAGTGTCCTGACAAACCACAATTTCTTCGAACAGCACTCTGCCACAACGCATGAACGGCAAACATACAGCAGCAGTAACAAGAACAAGAATCGACGCAGCGTCATCGTGACGACGACGGCGGCAACCACTATACTGCCAAGATCAACAGCAATAATAAGCCATCAGGCAGAACCGCAATCCTGCTACATAGCACTGCTGCTGACACTTAACACCGTAAAACGCCCAGAACCTCACAATTGAGCTGCAGGCTGTTCTGGTAAGCAAGCGCTCCAAAGCGCTGCCTGGAGGCTTATCTCAACAAAAATACTATGTATGTGTGTATGTATGTACGT